ATTGATTCCATAATTTATCAAATGATTGTTGCTTTTTCCTTAAATTTCTAGACTCGTTTGAGTATAAATTTTGTACTATCCCTCATGTTAGCTGATGAGATGGAAATAGTCCGTGGCAAATTCTGAATTAAAATTTAATTAGTTTTACTTTGCACTTAACTCATTGTATTATCAAAAATATGAGTTTAAATCTAATATTTTGTGAGATTTTTATAGATTTCTACATATATATTCATACTTCATATCAAAAATTCTAGTTTCAGATGAACCGTAGCCGGAAAGCTACGATCCACCTCAAATAGTGCCAATAGGTCCATGCTATGTGGCAAACGTTTACCCAAATAAGCCAATTTCGACGTCTCACACATTAAATTTAAAATGGATGCTAATGCACCAATATAGACACAAAAGTTGGCCAGAAGTAAAAGTTGTCCCTTATCATAGATAATAGTTGGACCCCTGAAATTGAAAAACTTTATAACTAGTCTGCTTTATTTTTTTCTTTAACCAAGAGAAGAGTATTCAAGTGACATATCAAGTAGAAGGAGCAATTAAATGTAGAAGGATTATTTTGAGGTTTGAGATTATGCTCATGTCCATTGAGTAATCTCAAATTTATGCAAAATCAATAGAGCTGTATTTACTCTACCCCATGGTAAATGAACACATAGGCAGATTCATAATATAGAGGTTCTGAATGTCATATTGCTTTAAACAATATCATATGCAGGATTTGGCATAAGCAGAGTCAATATTTATAGAAGAGAAGTAATTACTTCTAAAGTAGGTAAAAGTAAAAAGAATCCACCTTTAGCGTCGGAAAAGTAAAAGAGACTTGGTCTCTGTTTGTATCTTCCGTACAGCTCCATAAACATCTCTCTCATTAGGGGTGGACATCATTTGGGCAAACCCAAAATTTGAACTTTTTAGATTTTTGGTTTGAATTTTTGAATTATGAATTGGAGTTCGGATTTTATTTTTAAAAATTTTGGATTTTGGATTTGGGCAATATCCGAAAATCTAAAATTTTTGTACCTTATATTTAGCCTCACCAGTTAGACATTAGCCCATTACGGCATTACCCATGTACATACCTAATACCAATAAGTCTAAATCTCCAATAGTATCATGCCCATTAAACATTAGCTTGTATATTCAATACAAATTACTAGGTCCAATATGGGATTATCTACTAAATCAAATATAATATAGGATTCTCTTTTCTCCCACGTCTCAGCAACACAGCCACACTATACGTGCATTTGTAAACACTGAAGAGTCAAGGCCGAAGTTGAATAAAGATTAAATTTTGAGGTCACCTTTCTCAGGTAATCTTTTAATTTATGATAGTATAATTTGAATCAGTGTGATCTATGCATATTCGAGGCATTTTTTCTTGAAGAGGCATTATATAAAGTCGAGAAAATATCAAAAACCAAAGCATCTTTTGATTACCATCTTTCTACTTCATTTAAATGATTAATTTTATGTAGAGTGTTTTCTATAAGCTCAACTTACAAGCTTAAAATTCAGAATCGAAAATTCGAAAAATCCAATCTGATTAATCCGAAATCGAACTTAAAAAATCCGATCCAATCCGAAATTATTTGGATTATAATTTCTTCAATCCGAAAACCAAAAATCCAAACTGCAATTTCATATTCAATCCGAACTGTCCGAACGCCCACCCCTATCTCTCATGCAAAAGCGCAAACTTTAAGCTACAAAATAAAGTCAAAACTTGGGGGAGCACTTACAAGAGTCCGGAACCAAAGTATTATAAATTTTGACTCAAGAGACAAAAATAGGTGGAAAAAAAATATTGAGCACCATATTATGTATAAGGCATCTAAAACATGCGCTATACCTTAACGGCCAGTTACCCCGTTAAGATATAGTGCATGTAATAAATGCGCTATGTATAAACATTACCCCAACCCTCACCTTCTTCAATCCAAGCCATAGCATTCGTTTCCTGCGTTTGACATGAAATTTAGAACTAGGAGTGGCAAACGGATGGATCAGATCGAATATGGTTCGGGTCAAAAACGGATAATGAAAAAATAGATAAATTATCCGACCCGATCCATATTTAATACAGATAAAAGACGAGTTAACCGGCGGATAATATGGGTAACCATATTATCCATGACTTCTTGCATATGATCACTTTTGGGAGAATTCTTAGTCTCCCTAACTTGAGGAACTCCCAATTTGATGCTTTATAAATGTAAAAGTTGGATCCATTGGTTACCCATTGGCAATCCATTTTTTAAATGGATAATATGGTTATTTTCCATATTTAACCCGTTTTTAAAAAGTTCATTATCCAACTCATTTTTAGTGGATAATTTGGGTGGTTAACTCTTTTCTTTTAACCATTTTGTCACCCCTATTTAGAACCAATAAAAAACAACCGCATCACAAAAAATGTGTCAGCTAAGCCCTTTTCCACGAAATTTTTTATTTTGTGTCTCACACAACTGACATTAGTTGTGTGAGGCCTTTTTTTTATTTCACAACTATGTGGTCCCAGAATTTTTGTGGATCCAAATGTATAAAATATGGGTCCACAAATATACGAGATAAAAAGAGATCTCACACAACTACACAAAATAAAATCACTCCTTTTCCACCCCATTTCCTTCTGTCATTTCATTATGCTGTCAATTTCTCTCTCGCACACCCCGTTGCTCATCCTCTCTAGCCAGTCCTTCAATCCTTTCCCCTTCTAATAATTATCTCTAAAAGCTATAAGCTACACCAGAGGGTAACCACAAGTTATAAAGGAAAAAAAAATTAAGAAAGTTAGAAGATCTTGACTGAAAAATTAAACTCGCCGGCGCTAGGTGATGATGGAGAGGCGGATATTTTCTAGTGACCCCTAAACAAAGACACAAATGAACTAAGCAAATACAAGTATATCATGAACAAGGTGGGGGTTAGGGGTATGTTTATACGTAACACATATAATTGATGCGATATGCAGTCAATTATTATGGCTGCAAAGACTGAATATAACTCATATGTTACATGCGGTATATCTTAGCGGGATAACTAGCCGTTAAGGTATAGGGTATGTTTTAGATGCGTTATACATAATATGGTTCTCAACATTTTTTTCCACCTATTTTTATCTTTTGAGTCAAAATTTATAATATTTTAGCTCCGGACTCCCAGTTACTAGCCCATCAAAATGTCTTTACATAAATTATTATCACTTAATCCGTATTAATAATTCACATTTTGATCTCAATTTTGTCACTAAGTATAGTCAAATAATGCAGTTTGCTAAACCCAGGGGTGGGAGTAATAATTTTCCTTTCAAGGATATAACAGGATATAAACTATCAAAACAAATACATATATTGATGCATATATTGATGGCGTTGAACGTATTTGGAGTAATAGACCAAGTCATATGAATATGATTCACAACAATTACATAAGCAAATCGACCTCAAGATTCAGAAACATCACACAAGTCGCAGTTCAATTTGTATTGTAGAGGGTGCATGTACCTCAGACTATATCCCAACTACATATATAGCCCTTCAAAATAGTGGATGTGGGACCGTAAATCAGAATATTTTACCAAAATTCCTACTATAGCATATGCATGATTGAGCTATGACATCAAATAATCCCATAATTTCAGCTAGTTTCAACCTAGGATCTTCAGCATTGCAATTATATTGCTGAAGAGGTGACAGTGGAAAAGAGGCCAAATGGAATGCACTTAAACGATGTGGCATGACGGTCAATGAAGTTGATGAAAATCATGTAAGATTACTGTTTAAATTTCAGCGTAAAATATTTTCGCGATAATAGAATGCACACATTAATAATCTATGATGATCTTAGTAAACAAGCAGTGGCATACTGACAAATGTCATTATTGTTACACCGACCACCAAGTCATAAGGCTTTCCCAAGGGATGCTTTCTATTTACATTCCTGTCTCCTAGAACGAGTGACATGGGTGGTTCTTTCCATTTACCTAAGCCTTTGGTGGCCGAAATACGTAGTACTTGTCCTAGTGAAAATAGCATGTACCCAATAAAAATTGGTCCCGGCAGCATCATTATAAATGAAAGAAAAAGGAGGCCAAATGAAATGGCCTTGACCATTTCACTTCATGTTGCATAGAGAAGGGTGAGCTACAGAAGACTACATTGTGGATGTTATAAAAGATATAAAAAACTATCGAGAATCTTCCCCTAAACAAAACTCTCTTAAATACTACATCGTGGATGTTTCTATTCTTGTGCATGAAGGAGGAATCTCAATTTATAAAGGTCACAACCTTTTTCTACAAGTAAAGGATCTGTTAGATATAGAAAGGATCTATATTTTAAGGAAAAGTAAAAATCAATTATGGTAAACTCTTTTTCCTTCCTTCAAGAAAAGATAAAATCCTGGTAAGAAAATCAGGACAAAATCCTAACACATGATGCTCAGGGGCGGAGCTACAGTAGAGTGTGTGGGTTCGGGCGAACCAGTGACTTTTTCCCGAACTCTGTATTTGTGTTGAAAAAATTAGTTTATCTATATTGCTAAAGCACGCGAACCCAGTAACCAAAGGGGTTTGGGTTCAGCGGCAAAGGTTCTGTTTCCGGAAAAAATGCTTGGGTTCTAGTCCATTTGAAAGCACCGCATCTTTCTGCTACTTTTCTTTTAAAAGAAAAAACCTAACTAACTAAGAAATAAAACAAACTTTTTTCTGTTACTTTTTCTTTAAAAATAAAGCAAACGAAGTTCCAAAAGTCAAAGAAACACATTGAAGTTCCAAACTCACGTTTTTTCTGCTGTTTTTTTTTTTTTTTAAAAAAAAACTAACTAACTAAGAAATAAGAACTAGTTTTAGGTCTAGGTCATGGTCTTATCTTAAAATTTAGAACTCATGCACTTTAAATCCTAGCTCCGCCTTGATGATGCTTCATTGAGGCCAATGATATTTTCTTGTAAGCATTATGCAGACAGTAAAAGTAGGGGAGAGCTGATAAACGGGGCTGTAATATTTAGTTCCAACAGTTTCAGTCACAAAATATACATGAAATAATTATACAAGATTTTCAAGTATGTTGAACATGAAACTTAAATTTGCATATACTTTATTTAAAGTGGAATGGTCAATTATACACACTATGTTAGTAACTTAGATTATCAACTCAAAAATGATCCCGGAAAAGTTGGCACCTGCAAGCTCTCCTCACCATTAGGTAAATTGCATCTTGTATGGTGAAAGCCATGTGATTCATGACTTACTTTTATTCCCTTTAGAGAACGAATCTGCCACCTTTTGCTCTATATCTTCATTCAAACTAATTATGGGTGGATCCTATATCAAGATATCAACAATATGTCAGTACATTAAACAAGCCCCACATTACTGAAGGAATGAGAAGTCAATATTTTCTGCATAACATCTTCAAGTGTAAGCTATGTAACCTTAGGCGGGGCAAGCTTCTAAAATCAGCTTATTTTGAAAAGCGTTTTTCACAAAAGTGCTTTTCAAAAAAGTACTTTTTTTCCTTCTAAAACCTTGGCCAAACACCTTAACTTTAGGGAAAAAAGCACTTTTGGCGGAAAAAAAACCCTTTTAGCCAAAACGAAGCTTGGCCAAACAGGCTATAAAACTGGTTACCCTGTAAGCCCACAAATTTCACATAGCTCAAACAATATGGCATGAGAGGGAACACTCTTGCTATGCCATTCCAATGAAAAATGTTCTTAATCAATAAGTACAGTATGAATACAGTTGCTTCACCGGGGGTATATTTTCAATACATGCTGACTAACTAACCAATTATGGTGCCAAAAGTTAAGAACTCAAAGATCTCTACCCAAAAAGTAACTTTCAGCAGCACAGCAAAAAGCCCTACGTGAATATGGGGCAAAAGACAGTGGAACAGCTTTTGACAAACATTTTATAATTCTAACCTGAATTCATTATTAGTATTAGTATTATTTTTGGGAAGTACCTAATCTGAATTCATTCTTAAAGTTAATGACCATGTTAGAGTTCAAGAATACTTAAAACATTACCAGAACTGATGCATTAATAATTGCATGGATTCATCTGCTCTAGAGACAGTATCTGAAGTGGAGTCATTGGGATGCCACAATGCCACTGAAATTTTGGCAGTTCTTAGCTTCAGAAATGGCAACTAAAAATCACTCCACATTTCGCTATTATCATTGTAGTCAACTAGTCAATAGTCACCATGATTTCCGTTACAGATGCCACACAGCACAAAATGCTTCAGCATAGCAGAGTCCAACACTTGAAGAAATTCAAACAAACTAAACAAATGGTGAATCCTTGAAAGCCACATCTGTTGTTTACTTACTACGATAGGATATTGTCTATTGCGGATCAACATTTCATTTAGAGGTCCTAGGTAGACCCAAGTGCAACAGAATCAAGGAAGATTGCATGTCCTAACATCTCTTTTTTACCTTTACGATAGAAGGTGGCATGATCTTTCGGCACCACGTTTGGTGCATGTTTCTCAACCTTAACGGAGTCCAATGGGTTATGCCAGCAAATGAAACACAAGCCCTATCCAGTTGGCAAAGCCAGAAAATGCGGACGGAGACAAAGAAAACCCGGAAGACCATTCCGCTTGGCATAATTTGGAGCATTTAGCTTGAGAGGAACCACAGATGTTTTCAGTGGAAGGAAGAGAATTCTTCACTGTTGAAAAATTGATGTATCCAGAGTTTAAAAATATATGGTGCAATGCTGATTTTACTACTGATACTACTGTAATGCCGGACTTCTTAGAATCTTTTCAGCTTTGAAGGGTTTCTTCATCGCAATATTTCATACATGGCTCGGTACTATATTGGCACAAAGTTTATTCATAAGATTTACCTTTTACTGATAAAAAAATTAGTGGTAAACAGGAACTATAACACATTGTTCTACATTTCCATTGAACTTATTACAGACAACTTATCTAAGAAATTGTATTTTATTCTATTTCTTTAACAAATGTCAGAAACTCAGCTGGAGAAGAATTTTAATTTGGTCTCTTTCTTGACCTATTGTTACAAAGCCAGTCGGATTTCAAGAGGTGGAGCACGATGGTTCCTTTATACAAGAATAAGGGTGATATCCAAAATTGCAACAACTATCGGGGTACCAAGCTGCTTAGTCATACTATGAAAGTTTGGGAGAGGGTGGTGGAGCTAAGGATGAGGAGTGTGTCTATTTCCGAGAACAGGTTTGGATTTATGCCGGGGCATTCGACTACGGAAGCCATTCACCTTGTTATGAGATTGATGAAACAGTATACGGAAGGAAGAGGGACTTGCATATGGTGTTCATCAACTTAGAAAAGGCTTACAATAAAGTTTCGATGGAGGTTCTATGGAGATGCTTGGAGGCTAGAGGTGTACCTATGACCTACATTAGGGCGATTAAGAACATGTATGATGGAGCGAAGACCCAGGTGAGGACTGTGGGAGGGGACTCGGACCATTTTCAGGTCATGATGGGGTTTCACCAGGGGTCGGCACTCAGCCCTTTTTTGTTTGCCATGCTGATGGACGTACTGACGCACCACATCCAAGGGGAGGTGTCGTAATGCATGTTATTTGCTGATGACATTGTTTTAATTGATGAGACGCGAGGTGGTATTGATACGAGGTTAGAGGTGTCGAAGCAGACCCTAAAGTCTAAAGGTTTCAAGTTGAGTAGGATCAAAACTGAATACTTGGAGTGTAAGTTCAGTGGTGCCACTCAGAGAGTGGAAGGGGAGGTGAGGCTGGATTGACAAGTCATCCCTATGAGGGGAAGTTTTAAGTACCTTGAATCTATCATATAGGGGGATGATGAGATTGATGAAGATGTCACACATCGTATTGGAGCGGGATAGATGAAGTGGAGACTTGCTTCCGGTGTTTTGTGTGACAAGAAGGTGCCACCACAACTTAAAGGTATGTTTTATGGAGCGGTGGTCAGACTGACTATGTTGTATGGGGCTAAGTATTGGGCAGTCAAGAGCTCCCATGTCCAGAAGATGAAGGTAGCAGAAATGAGAATGTTGAAATGGATGTACGGGCAAACCAGGTTAGATAGGATTAAGAATGAAGTTATTCAGGGACAAGGTGGGTGTGACCCCTATTGAAGACAAGATGCGGGAAGCGAGGCTTAGATGATTTGGACATGTGAGGAAGAGAAGTACAGACGCCCGGTAAGGAGGTGTAAGGGGTTGACATTGGAGGGCCTAAGGAGAGGTAGAAGTAGGCCGAAGAAGAATTGGGGAGAGGTGATTAGACATGACATGGCGCAGCTACAATTGACCGAGGACATGACCCTTCATAGGAAGGCGTGGAGGTCGAGGATTAGGATAGTAGGTTAGGTAATCTAGAATGTTCATATTGGTAGTATTAGCACGTACTCTCGCTTTCTGTTGGTATTAGGTTTCTATGACTACCTGTCGTTTGTTGCATTTTGGTCATCTTACCGTCTTGTTACTTATGCTGCTTTTACCTGGCTTATCGTTGTTGTTCCTTCTTGTTTTTCTTTTCATTAATGTGGTGCTTATGCTTTCCTGAGCCGGGGTCTATTGGAAACAACATCTCTATCTCCACACGGTAGGGGTAAGATCTGCGTACACACTACCCTCCCTACACCCCACTATATGGGAATATACTGGGTATATTGTTGTTGTTGGTCAGAACGGTTATTAGAATGAAACAAGGGACAGGGTAAACCTGGAAATTATGAACATAAAACCTACATAAACAAGTATTTGTGGAGATGTGTTTTGCAAAGTGTTGGGAACAGTTAAAATTGGATAGAAGACCTATATGTTAGATTATTGAAGGAACAATAAATCATTCTGATAGCTTCATTTGATAGGTCCTAACAATCTTTGCGACCCTGTTTCCTAGTTTAACCATTCAATACTCATGAAGGTACATGCACTTTTTCTTTTTTTTTAATTTAATTTCTTTTCTTTCTTTTTTGTTTTGGTTTTTTTTTTTTTTGGGTGGGGGGTTAAGATAGGAAGGGCAGCTGCGGTAAAGCCATTATGTTTACATGATAAGAACATAATGTAGGCGCAGAATAGTCCACAGGATCAGTCATCAGTCTTTCTTTGACTTTCCTGATCTGTAGTTGTATGGCATTCCTGCTTAGAAAATGAAAATACTTTTTCTTATATATGATGAGGATCTCTGTTCCAAAAGTTGCGAACATTACTTTCATGTGAATAAATATGTTGAAATAACTAGTTTTTGTTTTCTGGAAATTTTCTCTCTCTAGGAATAGTAAATAAGAGAGCTACAGTCTGCTAAAAATCACCAAGATAACGCACTCTTCTTTTGATATTCTCTTTTCCACATGTGCAATTCACTTTAGCTTAATTCTTTGATGATAAACAGAGTATGATACACCACTGGACAAATCATGTAAAGGAATCATCTAACAATGTATTCTAAGCGAAAAAGTGACATGTTGGTCGATGCAAGAAAATTTCTATGTCTCATGAAGTTACCCCCAAAAAAAAAGTTGAGTACTACTTTCTCTGTCCCAGTTACTTGAGCTAGTTTTCCTTTTCCCTTATTCCCAAGCTACTTGACCCTCTTTTTGGATGAAAATACCCAATATGATAATTCTACTAAATTTAAGCTAACAAATCCCGCCTCTGTGCAAAATATAATAGGTCACAATCGGGGATAAGGGAGATGTATGATGGGGTGATGGTTAGCATAAGAATACTCAAAGTAATTAGAGGAGTCATACAGTCGATCCCAACTAGTTTGGGAATTAGGCGCAGTTCATGTATAAATTTAAGCTAACACTATCTTATCTTTTTGTTAGTTATCTAGAATCCGCTAAAATAACCACAAGGGCAGATTTTTATACAATTTTTAACTAGATGTGATATATCTTTGACACTCTACTCCACCTTGTATACATTTAAATATCGTCCTGAATCTCCTCTAGGTTGGTCTCATATGGTAACACGTGATAGGGTCATCCGGAAGGGAGGGAGGGAGTACAAAAGTAAGTGTGACACCATGATATAACAAAGCAAGTTAGAACACTTAATTTCAAGGTGGCTTAGGAACTCACTAGTTGTGCTTGAGCTTCAGATTTCTCATCATATCATGTTGGCTTGCTTCATTTCCTGTTTCCCGAGTAGATTTCGACGAACTTTATGTCATATACAAGTGTTGCATTTCCAGGAATGTTGCAGTCCCCTACACAAATAACAAACAGAAATCATAATTACTGTGTAAACACCTTTTTATTAAACAAAAGAAAAAAGAAAATATTACTGTGTAAACAACTGCAATCACAACAAACTGAATATATTCTTGTTATTTGCAGAGATGAAAAAGTTAGATGAGTAGCATGATGAAAATGGGCAAATGAGTCCTTCACAGCCTCCCAAGGCCAGTGGTAGCCAGATGGTATAATTGAGGAATATACATTGATTAAGATCACTAAGATAAATTGCATACTTATTGACATCCACCCTTTCAGAACATAGTAAGCAGAGTTGTTGAAGATGCTACTTGCTAGTAAGTGTTTCTTTCAATAATAATGCAAGTTTTCTTCTCACCAGTTAAACAAAGGAAAAAATTAAAAGACTTATTTTGGCTAGCTTGATGAAGATAAAGAATAGGCCTTATCATCTGATGTCACGAGCTGATATATGTCTTAAGGAACCCAACAATATAATGCATTTAAAATGCACCAAAAAAACACACCTGAAAAGCAGCCTGCTGGTTCTGGTCCATATGCCAAATGTGGAGGAATCTGAAGCTTACGTTTTCCACCTATGTACCAAAACTTCTAAAGTGAACTATGCTGGGAACAAGAAAAACGTCCACAGGAAGCTCTTATTAGCTGAAAGATCTTACCAATATGCATTGGCGGTATCCCTTCACCTCCCAAGATTCCTTGATCTAATCCCTTGATAACCTGTCAACAGCATGCCCCAGTTCACGAATTGTAGATGAGGTATTGCAAAAATTGAACTATACTCTTCATTTAGTTTTTCGTTTATGTTTCTTATTCATGTACTCCTTCAACCTGAACCTTAGATAAAGCTCTTGGATCTCGTTGCAATTGCAAATTGAGGTGTAAATTACCTCATAGTGAATATATATAGCAAGAGATTCCAGTATAACAGAAAGTTATGGATTACTGAGAAGTATTGGTTATCACTTAGCAGCACGTTATTTCTGTCTTCCTTTGATCAATAAGCAAATGGGGTTGCTGATGTTACATGGTGTGACAAAATCGACCTTGGGCCTAACTCAATCCCATAAGCTAGCACATGAGGGGAGGATTGACCGTATAAGGAGATCACAATATGTAGGAAACGTGCCCCCCTCCCCGGACTGCCCAAATGGAATGTGGATAACATAGCACAAAGGTCCAACACTGACAAACGCAACAACAGGGATCAATGATTTTGGCTTTGATACCATGTAAAAAAATGGAGCTTGGGCCTAACTCAACCCTAAAAGCTAGCTCATGAGCGGAGGGTTGCCCAAGACCATATAAGGATACCACAACCCATTCCCTCAACCAATGTGCGAATTAACAAATGGAAATAATCTTATCTTGTTCTACTCCATTTGATATCCCAAAACATGGTTGTCACCTTTCTACAAACTTCTTTTATATTTCATCCATTTTCCTTCTTTCTTGTATGGATAATGTTTTTTTTTTTTATAGTAAAAGATCTCGGTAGCAAAAACAGGGAACGAGGGCACGGGGAATAGGAAAGATGTTAATACATATCCAGACAATAAGACTAGCTTAATAAAGCCTAGAAGTCTAGTAAATTTGGATGATGGTAACATACACTTACTTTTGTAAAGTAAGAGGCTGTAAAATGGATGATAACTATCTTCAATTTCCAGCATTTATGAAAGTCAAAAAAACAGTGGAAATGAAAAATGAGGATACACTAAAACATGGATGATAATGCCCTAACAGTTGCTTAATTTAATAACAGTGTCGTTTACCTGTTCTCTTTACAAACTGCTCATAATTTGTTTGTCATTACATAGATATGTGTCCAGCTTTATGATCTTATCTTTTGATGCATATAGTGTATAGAACTATAAATATATACAAACGCCATTTCAACTGTCTATCTGATAGATAACCAGCCCTAATTTTATAATCTGGGACAGATATAGAAAGCAGAAGCTAATTCGGAGTCACACTTTATACCATCGATCAGTTGCAATGGCTTACATCTGACCCCAAGACATACCTTGCCCATGCCGAGGCGCATGGTCAGGGGTCGACCACGTTTATAGCTGCTGTCGAAAACTATGCCATCCCCAAACCTTGCAGTATAGTGAATCTGAAAGAATAATATACCATTCTCAAGTTCAAGAAAGATTAGAGATAGATAACTTTGATATTCAAACGAGACTTACATTAATGAGCTGGTTATAAGGAGCCTCTTGACCAGAGCCAACAGCAATGTCACAATAACCAAGTCCAGAGCGGGCAAAATTGAAGTCACAAGTGGGCTCAGCAGTAGTAGCATAGTATTCAATTCTGGTAGCATCAGCAGTTAACGGTGTCAAAGCCACTACTGAAGCAGCTAATATTCCAACACCCACTTGCCAAATTTTCTTCTTATTTATAGTAGGAGTTGATTGTATTTGTTGTGGCCAAGAAGAAGCCTTGAAACTGGCTGCTGTAGCTATGGGCTTTGGAGTGAAGACTTGAAGCTTTGGTGATGAAATGGCTAATGAAGAGACTGCCATTTTTATGTCTTTGTGGTTTCTATCTGACTAATCTGTAGCTTGTGGGCTGTATTTAGATATATGGGCATTGCTTGTTTTTGAGAACATCATACATTTTTGGGGCCCATTTTGGCACACGTGCGGGCCAATTGGTTTTCCCGGATTTTAATACAAATATATATGATACATGAACGCTTCATATATATTTTTCCATTATTTGAAACTTTATTACTCTTAATGTTTATGTTTAGTTAACTATCCGGCATAAACAAATTTTATTTACAAAATATATACAATCCACCTTAAAAGGCTCTTAATTCATTATTTGTGCCTTCAATCAAGGAATTTAGTTACACTCTTTTACTTTTTTTCTCCCCTCTCCCCTCTTCTCTCCGAATTCTCTCTTTCTCCCCATATTTCGAGTAAACGGAGTGCTGATGGGGTTACGAACATGAAATTAAATAATTATTTAGTACAAAAGATTAATTGCAATGTGCTAAAAATTATTTACTCCTGCAAACTAAATCATAAAGTACGTACACGTAATAGAACCCCTTTAACAACGCATGAACAGAACCCCTTTAACAACGTGTATGTACATAAACATTGCAATTAATCTTTTGCCATTCAAATCTTTTGTACTAAAAATTATTTACTTCTGCAAACTAAATTAGATATATGATGGATGAAAATTTTATTTTGGGTAAATAGGTGACCACGCCCACAAGGGAATTGTCAACTACATTTAACGAAAAGGAGGATAAGCAGATTTGAATGTCTTTTAGCTATAGCAGAGCATCTATCAATTGATATATAATAACAACTTTCATACATTATTTCTATTCAGTTATATATAACTATATAGTTATATATAACTATAGTATCATACCATTTAAATACAATTTTTATATAAATTTTATAAGTTATATATAACTATAGTATCATACCATTTAAATACAATTTTTATATAAATTTTATACAATATGTCTTTTATATATTTTATATTATACAACTTATCTATGATTTTCATACATTATTTCTATCAAGTTATATACAACTACAATATCATACCACGTACAATTTTTATACAAATTTTATACAATATGTCTTTGTATATTTTGTGTCTGATTTATACATAGTAAAAATAAATTTTAGACAACTAATTATATATAACTTATCTTCAATTTTCATACATTATTTCTACTCAGTTATATACAACTACAATATCGTACAACTTAAATGCAATTTTTATAAAATACTGTTCAACTTTCATACAATAGTTAAATAAAATTTTTTATATAAACAACACAATACAATTTTTCTATAGTTTTACTACAATTTCGTAAGTATAATGTATGTCATGTCGTCTTCTTCTTCTTCTTCGAGTTTCAATCTGAAATTTAGCCAAAATGAAGTCTAATCTTCACCAAAACACCCTCAAAATTGAGATATAAACTCCAAACCATATTCTTAATTGTTTGCAACACCCAATCCAAACAAATAATGATTTTTGAAAACCCAAATTCGAATTCAAAGCTTTTTAGTGGATATTAATTGTGGAATTGTTGATCTCTTTTCCTTTGCTTTACATTACTGAAATTAGGGATTGAGAGATAGAGAGAAACATTGATAGAATTCTCAATTCTTTGCAACAACACCCAATTCAAACAAATAATATTTTTTGAAAACCCAAATTCGAATTCAAAGCTTTTTAGTGGATATTAATTGTGGAATTGTTGATCTCTTTTCCTTTGCTTTACATTACTGAAATTAGGGATTGAGAGATAGAGAGAAACATTGATAGAATTCTCAATTCTTTGCAACAACACCCAATTCAAACAAATAATATTTTTTGAAAACCCAAATTCGAATTCAAAACTTCAAAGCTTTTTAATGGTTGTCAATGGTGGAATCGTGAGTGAGTGCAAGATACGTGGGGGATGGGGGATGTGGAGAGAGAAACGTGGGGGAGTGTAAGATACGTCAGAATTATTTTAGAACACTAATTATTATCATTAATTCCCTTAAAATGCAGATAAATGGTAATTGGATATACAAAATGTAATTATAGTAAAACTTGAATAGAAAAGGTAATATAGTTTCATATAGTGTATAGGAATGTAAAAATTCCTATTATATATCTGCCGGCTATTTTTCATTTAAACATTAGATGGGAGGCTATTTGAGTTAATTTTTTTTTTTTCTAATTTGTTGATTTTGGACAGTTCGGTGCACATGACCAAGCAAGGACTGCACCCCAGGGGTATAATGCAGCCATCCTACCATAATAAAAGCACTAGTAGTTGTTTTTACCATTTGTTTAATTTAAGGGGAAATTACTTTAAAGTCATTTTCATATCTTGGTATAGTGGCTTCAAGTATCCAATATTACCTTTGTCCCAATTTATGTAGTATTTTTTTTTGCTTATCAAGATTTAAACTTCATAATTTTAGTTGTGAATTGGACATAAAATCTTTTTTTTGAAATAAAATTTATACATTAAAAATTATGTAAAAAGTATTATTAGTCACAATAATAAATAATTGAAAGCATTTAAAAGGCATATACAAAAATCACGATCAAAGAAGAATTTATTTAGCTCTCAGAATCCAAATACTTTCGCATAAGGGACATATAAGTATTACCTAGCCCATATTTAAATTAAAGGGCGTAAAATACGAGGTATTATTGAAAACTAAACATTATACTAAACATAATAGGTGCTTTTAGATCACAAGAGTTTGGAGTTAAAAACATTTATAACAAAACATCCTCCTATTTTATCAAGTTCATCTAGTGATAAAAAAAAAAGTTGGGAGGACTTGGTAGATTAATTGCAAAATCATTAACCTGCAATCATGAATGTTTCTAGCTGATCTCATCTTTGGAAATAATTAGCTTTGGAGTTTTGTTTCTTTCACAAACTCGTTAATTTTCAGTCAAAGTTTTTATCGTCATTGTTACTAACCAGTTAGGATAGAACCTACCAACTTTCCCGTTGGAAGATGATAATAAATTCGTCAATTAATGATGCTCTCGTGGCTTTGGCACTTCTACTTTGAATTCGTTGTGTCCTACCCCTCCATAAACTATCCATCACTCAAGACTCCTTTAAAGGGGAAAAAAAGAAAAAAGAAAAAACATGGGTGTATTAAAGATGTTTACCCTAAAAACGGATAACAATTGAATTTATACGCGGTTTTAAGGATACGTGATATAACCTGGTACAAATTAAGAAGACAGATTAATATTGAAATTGATGATAAGAAAATAAATGCAAACCACACAAATTGAATAGCCTTAGCCTTCGAGTTCGATCACTATCGAACCAAGAAATGCCTCTACTGATGTAAGAATAGAATAACAAGGTGATAAGAGCTAAAAATAACAGTATAATTGCTTTGTATTGCGTATTTCAATATGTGTTACAAATAATTAGACCCCTCCCCCCCTATATAGTAGGAGTGTCCTACTCTTGATACAACTCTATACAAGGAAAAAAATCTCATGATTTGCTAATTAACCGGCCTCTCCTTGATACGTGTCGAGATTCCCGCCGTGATCTTCAACTAATCGCGAGTATTGATCACGCCCAACTATGCCTTCTAAAAGACAAAGCGACCGTTGCAAATATAATCTGGTTTTAAGTCCGGAGTCGAATCCTCAGGGAACTAACCTATCTATTATAACTCTTGGCAATGCTCAGTTTGGTATATATGAACAACGGCATCAAGTTTATGCTGGCTCCTAAGTCACATAATGCCTTTGCAAAGGCATAACTCCCAATAATGCATGGAATAGTAAAGCTACCTGGGTCAGACATCTTTTGAGCCATGGGTTTTGTCACTATTGCACTGTAGTTACGTCTGTGTTAGAGTTACTGTGGATAGGTCCTGAAAGTCAAATTTTCATGACATTAGGTCCTTCATCATCTTTGCATAGCCTGGCATCTCCCTCAAAGCATCCATCAGAGGGATATTCAATTGAATTTGACGAAGCATCTCCATAAATTTCCTGTATTGATCTTCCTTCTTTTGTTTTGCTAGTCTCCACAAGAGGTGCCCTCTGTTCTGCAGCTTGTTCACTCTCCTTAGCCTTACCCTTATCGTCCTGAGCCTGTTCAACCACCACTTCAGTAAGTTCTGCTGATTCATCTACCTCTAATGGAACTGGAGTGGCTGGCATAGTCTCTTTGCTGGATTGTACAACTTCTTGCTCCCTGTCTAAATCTCTCCCATTCCGGACTTACGGCCATCAGCTGATTCGGGTTTTGCTCCTTGGGGTTAATGTTCGTGTTTGCTGGAAATGTTCCCTACGGGCAATTGTTTAAGGCCATGGACAGCTGCCCCAGTTGAGTCTCAATATTCTTTATTGCTGAGTCATAAACTGCCAACTTTTCCTGCATCTTACCATTTGTTCCAATGAGTTGTTGAAGCATTCCCCTGATCTCTACCATGTTGTTATCTTGTTGCTGAGGAGGTGTCTGATATGCCAACTATTACTGGTTCTGCTGTGGATAGCCCTGTTGCCTCTGATATGGCACCATTTGGCCTTGGGGCTGCACACCACCAGGTTGTGGCATGTTTGATCTGTACTGCTGATTGGGTGATGGTCTCCACTGCTGTCCTCCTTGTCTCTGACCCCCGAAGTTATTGACATAATTTATATCCTCTCTTACCCCTTGGTTGTCACCTTCTCCACTCCATGAACACACATAAGACTGATTAATGCAGAGTGTACACAGTCCTCCATTTGTTGTGTCAACAATATGCACTTGCTTTGTACCCATCTCATCGATCTCCTTTGTCAATATACTCATCTGAGTCATGAGTGTAGCCATGTTCTTAGCCTGTGAATTATTTGGGTCAAGAGGAACTGAATGCACTATTGGTGCCAGAGTTGTGCCCCTCGTCATCCACCCTGAATTCTAGGACATCTTGTCAAGAAGGATTTTGCACTCGGTGAATGTCTTACTTAAAAATGCACCCCCAGCTGAAGCATCTACATTGGCCTTTAGATTGTCTGCTAACCCCACGTAGAATTTCTGGCCAAGCATCTG